GTTTTCTTTTTCGCGGAGGTACCGCGGGCTATGTCGCAGGTGGAGGACGATGCAGCTTTGCTCCTGTGGGTTTATTGCAACTATGCGGTTCATACGAACGCCCAGGTTTTGCACACAGGGGCTATGCTGGATGTCAGGGAGAGGCTGCGGCAGCTTGTGGCCGAGGGACGGGCATGGGATGCTGCCCGCCTTTGGGGGTCGGTTCTGGAAGTGCAGCACTGCCCTCCCCCGACGAACCTCATCAACGATCTGCCTGCAGGCCTCCGGCCGATCAGGACGGTCCCCTGTATCGAGCCCGACTGCCTTCGCTGCCGCGAGGGACGCGGAGGGTTCCAGATGCCCTTTGTCGGAGCCCACTGCCGCACTGCAGTCCTTGTTCGGCCCGGGGTTACTCCGGTTCAGGCTTGGGCGGAGTACCATGCTTGTGAGAGCCGCCTCACGCCTCTCGAGGTGGCCCGGGCTGCTTCTGGCTTGTGGCCGGCCGATATCCTCCCGGACCACGCGGCGGCCTTGGTGGCAAGAGTTGCTGAGCAGACCCACTCGAGGGCGGTGTCTTCGGCCGAGCTTTGGGTCCTGTGGCGGCTCTGGCACAATGGGCAGCGACGTTGGCAGGAGCCCGGTTTCCCAGCCGTTCCATCTTACACCGAGGCTCGTGGGAGCGACAGGGCCAGGGCCCATCGAGCGATGTGGTTGCTCTTGGGGGCCGTGGCGGCCGAAATGGACATGCTCCCGGCTCCATGTCGGAGCTGCGGGGTTCCTTCGATTTTGGTTTGCCGGCGCTGCTCCTCAGCAGTCTGTCGCGATTGCCTGTCGTGCTGCAACAGGTGTTTGTGATAGCGGCAGTGCCGGTTTCCTGGTGCAGGCTTCGGCTGCGAGCTCGGCTGGGTGGCGACCTCAGCGAGCAGATGCCTTTATTAGGGGCGGTACCCCAGGGCAGGGACGGGCGGTCGGTAACCGCATCCTTGCCCCTTTTCAGCTGCACCCGATGGTCTTTGCTTCGGTGGTTTTAAACAGGGGCGGCCGGCGGTCGGTAACCGCTGCGCTGCCCACTTCTCCTGCCTGGGGACCACGACCAACTTCTGCCATTCCCGAGGCGCCGGCTGGAAGCGGATGTGCGGCACCTGGGCCGAAGGGTGCTCCCGGGCGAGTTTGCTTTTGCGGGATTTTGTTGCTCGGGTTTGCGCTTCGCTTTTCATGTTAAGTCGGCAGTTGTTGTGCAGCCTGCCTCCTTGGACGCATTGGCTCGTGAAGTTCGCCTCGGGCCTCGGGCTGTGGAACATCATGACAGGAGCCTACGCAGCGCAGGCGATGGAGGGCGAGGGGGCGTGGTCAGCAGCTACGTCCCTCCAGGTGATCGCTGTGCGAGTCGGGTGCGCGAGTGGCGCCAGAAGCACCGCGTACAAAGGGACTCCGACTTCGCTTTTTATTTTACCAGCTACCAACAGGCGGTGCGGCAGGCTGGGCATCATGTGGCAGATGCTTGGACGGTGGCTCGTGCTGAGCAGGAGGGTTGCCTGATTTCGGCGGCTTCGGCGGCAGTGGAGGGACCAGCGCCGTCGGACCGGCCGCCGTTGCCCAGGCCTTCTTCGTCGGTGCGTGGAAGACAGGGCCGCCTTGCACCTCCCCAGCCAGATGGTGGTGACCTGCGTGAGCGTCGGTCGAAGCTGGTGGCGGTTCTTCTGCAGTTGGGCGCCTTCCGCCCGGCAGGTCCCCTCTCGGACGTTCCTCGCAGGGAGTGGGAAAAGACGGTCGAGAGGACGGCGTCGCGCTTCGTGGACCGTGCGGACAGGGCCACTATAGATGGCGTTCTGGGTACATGGGATGAGCTCTCGGCTTGGCAGCGGGCGAGGTCACGCCCAGTGGTGCCGGAGCTCGTGGACGTGGACTCCTTTTTGGCCGATGGTACCCCGGCTCCTACCCGTGCCTTGGCTTGCCTCCGGTGGTTGGTGAAGAAGGCCAAGCTGGCTCGGAAGCCGGGGCAGGCCTCTCAGCCAAGGGGCCAGGCACCTTGTGTTGGCCCAGACATGCTGGGGTTCTTGGAGGAGAAGATCGAGCTGGCCCATTCCTTCGGCGACGAGAAGTGGTCGGCCTTGCTGGGCTCGTGGCTGGTGGCGGCGGGATGCCTTAGGTACCGCCATCTGCAGGTCGCGGAGCCCCGTCGTGTTTCTACCACGGCGTTTCATGGGCACTGCCGGCGGGGTAAGCAAGCCCACCTGCGGATCACGGGGTTCGACTTCGCTATCTGTGCCCGCTTCTCCTCGGGTTGGTCTTGGACGGAGGCATGGCTTCGGGACTGGCGGGCCCTTTCCCCAGCAGCCAAGAAGAGAGAGCCAAGAAGAAGCGGGACTCTGCTTCAATCGGGCGGGGAAGCCCTGGGCTATTTCCGAGATCAACCTCAGCGCTCAGGAGGCCTTTCGCGAGATGCTGCAGGAGCCGGCGGATATGACTATATACAGCTGGCGCCGACTGCTCCCTACCGTGGGCCAGCTTCTTCGCCTCTCTCCGCAAGAGCAGCTGGCTTTGGGGGATTGGGCTAGCAGCAATCCGGAGGGCAACCAGATGCCGCTACATTACAGCAGCGCTCCCTACACAACCTCCCTGCGATGCAAGGCGCTGTCTCTGGCCGCGGCATGGGAGGTCCGTGGGTTCGAGGACTGGAGTGCAGTCACGGACACCGAGCTGGAGAGGATTAAGGGGGCCGTTCAGACCCAGGTGGACGCGGTGATTGTGGGCGACCGGACCACTGTCTTCCAGGCCCCGGTGACGACCGAGACGCTGCACAGGTCCCTGGCGCTGACGCGCACGTGGAGGTACAGAGCGGCCAAGATGCGAGCACGATCCAGCCAAGAGCAAGTGGAGCGCATGCCAGCCACGTTGAATGGCAAAGTCCTCACCGCCTTCCTTAAAAACGGACAATCGCTTTGCGCGAGCTTCCAGCTGGGGAAGTGCCAGTTGGCAGAGCAGGACTGTGCGAGTTCGCACCGATGCGCGGTTGCTCTGCGCAGTGGGCGAGCTTGTGGCGGCAATCATCCAGCTCACGTGTGCTTCGATTTGAGAGCACTCCTCGCGCAGACGGCCAAAGAACCCGGCCCAACTGGCCAGACTGTCCTGCCGCAGCGGAGGGCGGCACCTGCAGAGCCATCCGCCCCTCCACCAAAGAGGGCCAGGCTTCCTTTGGCCGGCGAGGTACCAAGCGAGGCAGCTTCTTCCTCGAGAACCACGGCGAAGGCGACACCCAAGACGGCATCGAAGGCGGCACCCAAGGTGGCACTCAAGGCGGCGCCCAAGGTGAAGGCTCGGCCCAAGGTTGCCAGTGACAGCGCGGTTTCGGGGCGTGACCCTGTGGTTCTTCGGGCGGCTTCGGGCGGCAAGCCCGGCGGCCTCTGGTGGTACTGAAGGATGCATGGTCTACTGCAGA